AGGCCTTCCGAAAAGCCGTCAAAACCTGGCTTTGCCAGTAGGCCTGGGGGTGATGAGTTCCCTCCCCTCTCGACATGTATCGTTGTGCGACTGTTGTTTACTTTTATTATTTGTATTTTGTTTTTTATGTTCCCCTTTTTCCCCCTTGAATTGTTTGCCGCCCTAAGTCCTCCCGGAGAAGGGCAGCATACAAATAATAAAATTCTATTCTATTCTATTCTATTCGATCGATATGCAAAGCAGGTTATATAAAGTAAGTCAAAATCCGACTTTCAAAACTTTTTTTTTCATCGCAGTCACTAATCAAATCGCTGTGCTTCTTAAGGGAATCCTGGACTCATTGGAGCAAATCCTGCTCCCCTTCGTTGACTTTGCAGTTGTTAAATGAGTAACGTGGTTGTAAAGCGAATCCTGCTTCCCCAATGGCTTTACTTGTCAGAAGTTCCCAAGAGGTGATCACATGACCTCAGGACACTGCAATCATCGTAAATATGAATCAGTTGTCAAGCGCCTGAATTTTGATCGTGTGACCAGGAAGATGCTGTTGTATGTGTCGTTTTTTTTCAGTGCCATCATAATTTGCAATGGTCACTAAACAAACTGTTGTAATAGCAATGGCAATAGCAGTTGTTAAGTGAATCACTGGCAGTTGTTAAGTTAGTGACGTGAACTATGGTTTCCCCATTTCCTTTGCTTATCAGAAAGTCGCAATATTATATGGCCCCAGGACACTGCAACCCCATCATAAATACGAGTCAGTTGCCAAGCATCTGAATTTTGATCACGTGACCATGGGGATGTTGCAACAGTCGAAGGGTGAAAAATGATCATGGCACTTTTTTTTCAGCATCACTGTAACTTCAAATAGTCACTAAGCAGACTGTTGTAAGCCAAGGAGTAACTGCACATGCGAACAATGCAGCAAGACACTCACAATCACCCATGCCTTAGTCACTTCCCATCTTGACTATTGAAACACCCTCCACATGGGGATGCCCTTGAAGAGCATCCGGAAGCTCCAGTTGGTGCAAAAGGCAGGATTGTCCAGACCCCGGTGTACACATGTATCACTTCTGCAGGAGCTACATTGATTGCTGATTTGCTTCCAGGTGCAATTCAAGGTGCTGGTTGTCACCTTTAAAGCCTTTCATGGCTTGGGACCAGGTGATCTGAGGGATTCTCTCTTGCCAGTCGCCCACCCAGAGTTGGAAGCAGGGAATGCTGCGAGTCCCATCCCCGAGGGAGATACACCTGGTGGGACCCAGAAGAAGGGCCTTCTCTGTGGTAGCTCCCTCTCTCAGGAACATCATTCCCCCCCCCCCACAGAGATTAGAATGGCCCCCATTCTCACACTCTTCCGGGAGGGGCTGAAGACCTGCTTCTGCCAGGGGGGTTGGGGATCCCAGAATGGGATGGAGCCCATTCAATGGCTCGTGTGATCTGATGTCACCGGAGCAGGGGTGAGTGAGAGGCGGGAAAGCTGATTTCTGTTATATTGTATACTATATTGATTTAATTGCTTCTTTTTGTTAGTTGTTACTGTTTGAAATGTGGTTTTATATTCTGCAAGCCACTTTGAGTCGCCGTGGGCAAAGAGGCGGCAATATAAATTCAATAAATAAATAAACAAATGGCTCAGTGTGTTGGCCTTAGCAAAACAGGATGCCATTTTGAGTTCTGGAGACACACAAAAATTTCTTACTTTCTCCATCTGAAGAAGGTAGTAATCAATGAAGTCTTGTGGGTCGTGCCGTGATTGGAGTTCCCTGTGCTTCTCTATCTCTTGCTTGGCAAACGAGGTGACATCTTTCAAAGCACGGAACACTCTCTGATGACGGCCTGGGAGGTATTTCATCAACCATGGAAACTCCTCATACAGCTAAACGAAAAGATGAAACAAAAAAAAATCCTATCACAATGACGTTATCAGCCATATTGTCTGATTGATTCATAATTGAGTTTAGCACTTCGATAATATTGTCTGATTGATTCATAATTCTCCAGGGTATGCAGTTTGTATATATTTGGTAAACTGCTTCTGGATGGTAGCAGGCAGAACTGAATGATAGAAGTGCTCCAAGATCTAAAAGAAGAGGGAGTCGAACTATTCTCCAAAGCACCTGAGGTTAGAACAAGAAGCAATGGGTGGAAACTAACCAAGGAGAGAAGCAACTTAGAACTAAGAGGGAAATTTCCTGATAGTTAGAACAGTTAATCAGTGGGACAACTTGCCTTCAGAAGTGGTGAATGCGCCAACACTTGAAGTTTTTAAGAAGGGGTTGGACAACCATTTGTCTGAAGTGTGTAGGGTTTCCTGCCTAAGCAGGGGGTTGGACTAGAACAGTGGTTCCCAAACTTGGCAACTTTAAGATTTGTGGACTTCAACTCTCAGAATTCTCCAGCCAGCTCTGCCGATTTTTGACCTCCGGAGCCTTCAGGGAAGACTCCTGAAGGTCCTTGAAGGTTCCGGAGGTCTAAAATCGGCGCTACGGACAAAGCGGAAGTCACCATTCCCGAACTTCTAGCTTCCCCATAGGTCTGTTTTTCGCCCTCCGGAGCCTTCAGAGAAGCTCCTCCAGATGGCATCTGGGGGGGAGGCTCTTTTCACCCTCCCCAGGCTCCTAGAAAGCCTCTGGACCCTGGGGAGGGCGAAAAAACTGTGCCAAAAGTGTTTGTGTGTGTGTGTTGCGCCTGCCCACGTACACTCTTCCTTGCCTCCCCCTGCTTTTGGCACAGGAGCCAAAAAGGGTTCGCCATCACTGCCCTATACCATTTCAGACAATGTGGCACCACAAACCGCGCTCGAATAAAGCGCGCCCGATTAAACCGCGTCGCTGATGTCGTCAACAGGGCGACAACAGCGAGCGCGGAGAAAGAAGGGCCCTTTAAATAGCGCTTTGAAACCAAGCCGATTCAAGTTAAGGTAAGGGTTAGGTTTAGGGTTAGGTTTTGGCTCCTGNGAGAGTAATCCAGAAACCAGCAGTGAGTTGATCCTGGATGCACGCCATCGAAGAGCTACTCGGCGTCAAGAACAATTACACAATTACAGGAGGTAATTGTGCGCAACTGGTGGTCATGAGGCTCCTCTCCAGACTATAAAAAGACACGCCCCTTTTGCAGAAGTCAACGCATTGACTAAATGTAACTAAACGTAACTAACTTGGCAGGCTGAATTGCTGCCAAGGTTTGTCTGAATTGCTGCCAAGGTTCGTCGGACTTGCTGCCAAGGTCCTTATCTGTTTGCTTACTTGGCTTTCAGCCACCGAGATTCTGGTTCTTGTTATTAAAGGACATTCCATTTAAGCTTGTCTCGGCATTCATTACTGGATGGAGGAGGGGGTCAGAACATGTATGTATGTACGTACGTACGTACGTACGTATTTCATTCTTGGTTAAAATATTGGACTTTTCAAAAAGCTGTTGTAAAATGTTGGACTGGAAAGATAAGAGAGTTGATGGGTATAATATAGGAAACAAATCCAATTTTAATACCATCTTCAACTTTCCTAATAGTTATTCTTTGACAATTAGTTGAATGCAGATACTATAATCTAATGGACATTCACATACGCTTATATCCTGCATTTATTATTTTTGTAAATAACAGAAGTATCAAACTTTCCTAATGCTTCCTCCTCCTTTTCTTATTGTCCCCACAACAATAACTACACTGTGAGGTGAGTTGGCGAAGAGAGAGTGACTGGCCCAAAGTCTCCCAGCTGGCTTATGCGCTGCTTAAGGAGGGCCTAGAACTCATGGTATTCCAGTTTCTAGCCTAGGGCTTTAACCACTAGATCCAACTGGCTCTGATACTGATGCTAAACTGGAGGCCAGGAAATTGTCGGGCTATGACTATCCTTCTGCATCTTTGGCAGATGAAAAAATAACAGCGCAAGCAGCTTGATTTAAGCGAAGCATTGTTTAGGAAATGTTTACTGACTACCATGGCAGCAAATTTGCTTTAATAGGTACCAGACTTCCATGGCTCATCCAGTAATTAATGCATTTCTTCTTCCCAAAGTGTTAATGTTAATCCCCAACCCGGGAGCTAAAACTTCAGTTATGAATATTAATCTTTCTCAGGGCTGCGTGGCATCCAAAAGGTACATTGACTGAGCCAAGCATCAGTGCTTTGATTTAAGCCCCTACTTTTAATGGCATGTCACTGATTGGCAGTGTAATTAAATGACTAAGTCTTTTGGAAACGGCACCGTGTTTTGTTTTAATCAGTAGCTCATGTGTGCTCTTGGCCAAACTACTGTTCCTTTTGCCTTTGCTCTGTCATATGTAATATGTGGATAATGCAATAAACAAACATTGCTAGCCAGTCTTGTCAGGACGCATTCATTCTGCTGCCTGACAAATACATCTTTCCCCGCACTTATGAAATATTTCAGGGCATGCTACCCTGCCTAGATGGAAAGCCAAATGACTTAATCTACTGTTCTGACCCCTCTCGTCCCACACCGACACACTCCGAGCCAAAGATAAGTTACAGCATTTAATTAACAGACATACAGGTCCTTGGCAACAAACCGGCACAGACAAGCTTGGGCAGCAATCCAGCACAGATAAGCCGTGGCAGCAATCCAGCCTGCCAAGCTCACAANTCGGAGTCTGGTGGCAGCTCCAACGGCTCTTGCTGGGCCACCACAACAGAAACTAATCAAGGAGAGAAACAATCTAGAACTAAGGACAAATTTCCTAACAGTGAGAACGATTAACCAATGGAACGACTTGCCTCCAGAAGTTGTGGGTGCTCCATCACCAGCTGGAGAATTCTGGGAGTTGAAGTCCACAAGTCTTAAAGTTGCCAAGTTTGGGAACCACTGCTCTAGGATAAGTAAAGTCTTCCAAGAGGAGAGATGCCACACAGCTGGCTTTCCATCTCTACTGCACAGTTTTTCCTTGAGTCTTTCTGCTAGAAAGGGAGAGAATTAAAAACAATTTATTTTCCCTTTCTCCACTTGCTGACCAAAAACATTAGGGGATGGGAAGGAAACCGTTGTATGATGCTTGCCCAATTGTAATTTACAGAAATTCCTGAATCATTCCCCTAGCCAAGAGCAAGTTCATAAAAGGCCTCCCAGGTCTGATTGTCTTTAAAATGTGCTGTACCCTTTCTATTAAATCAAAAAGATCAGCACTGATGAAGTTTGTAATCCACTCAACCTTTCAACAGGATGCCTAATGCTTAGCCAATCTTCCCAGGACAGGTTTTATCTCTATCTCTGTACACAGCATTGGCATTAAAGCAAAAATCACAAAGGAGAATTTCTCATAAAGATTGCCCTGTAGGTAACCTGTTATACCTCTAGGACTGTCACATTATGAAAGCTTTTCTTTCTGTGTAAGCCTAAAAAGGTGGGATTTCAGTATCCTAAGACAAGTTGAAAGGGAGGGGTTTTGTTATCTATTTGAGGATTGCGTTCCATCTGAACTTGGGACCATTATTTGCCCCAAAATGTGCTATGTTACTAACTTATATCCTCAAAGTAAAGAATGCCCTCCTTGATACTGAGAGCTTAACCCCAGTGGTGACATTTCAAAAATAGATAAATAGGAGTTCTGACAAATTATTTTGTCAGATTACATTCTAGCACAACATTGTTGTAAATCTCTATGAAACCCTGGTAGAACTGTTTCTAGGATTCTATCAAATAGACTTGATGAATTCTTTTTTTTTTAATTGCTCTTAAATCTCAATGGAATGAAAATAAATGAATGCTAATTTAAAACATGGCAATCCAAGGGATTAAACTGGTCAGTCCTAGAGGAGATCAACCCTGACTGCTCTTTAGAAGGCCACATCCTGAAGATGAAACTCAAATACTTTGGCCACCTAATGAGAAGGAAGNGATGATAGATAGATAGATAGATAGATAGATAGATAGATAGATAGATAGATAGATAGATAGATAGATAGATAGATAGATAGATAGATAGATAGCATTCCCAACTGAGAAGGCTTTAAAAATTATCCTCCCCACCAAGAAATGCATAGAAAAGTTGAATGGACCAGTGAAGAAACGTTTCCTTCTCCGCAGCAACCCGAACACCCAGCAAATTAAAAGTGCATATTTAGAGGAACTGTGTAATTGATGTGTTCTCCACAATTTCAACTTTCCAGAGTGGGGAGATGGAAATATTCTGAGCTGTAAAAACTGACAGCGCCAAGGATTCCAGATACAAATAATACAATGAGCTGATGTTGCTTTTTCAGTCTCTAGCTTGACAAGGTGACTTGGGGATGGGGGGAGAGAGATTGTCTGCAAATTGTGCTTCGTCATCTGATTTATTAGCTGACAGTAAATCTCTTCACTTTCTCCCACTCCCCCACTCTTACTTTAGAAAAAAATTGAAACCAGACTGGTATTAAGAAAGCAGAGGAACCAGGCAATATACAGACTTAAAGATATACTCTTTACTTGTTGTTTTATTCTAACTGATCTGGTTTTTTATTTTATTTTGTCTGGATTTCCCCTCGCAGTTGTTAATGAGTGCACATGGCAAAAAGCCATCTGGCTGTGTTGCATTTTTATTGCTTCTTCTACTGTGAGTTACTCAGGGTCAGATGGAGTAGATAGGTAGTAAATTGAATTAAATAAGTCAAGAAGAAAGAGAGCCAGATGACCGAGGCTGATTTTGCTTAGTGCACCGGTGGGAAACCAATGATTCATAGGTTGTTGGAATTCCTTAAACCATTATTTTAGTCATGCTCACTGGGAATCTATGGCACAATTAACTTTGGTTTTAAGGGTTATTTTAACACTTAGCTCCTCGTGTTCTTTGACACTAACTAGGCTCTATGGCAGTGGTTCCCAAACTTGGCAACTTTAAGACTTGTGGACTTCAACTCCCAGAGCACTGCTGGCTGGA